GAAGTTAGCGCAGTGAGTGGCCGCCTGCTTACCAGTCATCATGCCCTGCTCGAACCCGAAATTGAACGAGGCGACCGTGAAAGACGCAGGCTGCACAGCGCCAGAACCAGGCGTCTGTCCACCTTCCTCCGCAGGCTGAGAAGCACCGCGAGGCGGCGCAGGCTGAGAAGCACCGCGAGGCGGCGACACTTCGGACGAGCCTCGCGGAGCAGAGGCTGCGGATGAACGTTGGACATGGGGGTACGGCCAGGGGAACGCCATTGCAATCAAAACTCAGTGGACTGCAGTGAATGAATGTAGTGGCCAATTGAATGCAGAGGACTGCAGTGTCACTAGCAAGTCCTGAACCAAACACAGCTGTGGCGGAAGGAATATGAAGCGTCTGGCTATTCAAAATGTTGCCCGGCAATGTCCTCCTCCTCCTCCTCCTCCTCCTCCTCGTCCTCCTCCTTCTCCTCCTCCTCCTCCTCCTCCTCCTCCTCCTCCTCCTCCTGGTAGTCCTCCCCCTCCCCTCCTCCTCCTGGTAGCCCAGGAATGGGAGTTTTGGGAACTCGAAGAGCACGAAGTGGCCTACAGTTGGCTCCGGGCATTCAAAATGTGGCCCGGGAATGGAGTTCTGGGAACTCGAAGAGCACGAAGTGGCCTACAGTTGGCTCCGGGCATTCAAAATGTGGCCCGGGAATGGAGTTCTGGGAAGTCGAAGAGCACGAAGTGGCCTACAGTTGGCTCCGGGCATCCAAAATGTGGCCCGGGAATGGCGTTCTGGGAACTCGAAGAGCACGAAGTGTGTGACTGTTGCATCCGGCCCCCCAGAATGTGGCCCGGGAATGGCGTTCTGGGATGTCGAAGAGCACTTTGTGTGTGACTGTTGCATCCGGCCCCCCAGAATGTGGCCTGGGAATGGAGTTCTGGGAAGGCGAAGAGCACGAAGTGTGTGACTGTTGGTGAAAAACGAGCCCGGCTCATGCCGCCCGGAAACGCCCCAACACCTGCCCGGACCCCCCTGTGGAGTGATCTGTGAGCTCTTTTGAGTCAACTAGAAACCTATCAGTCTTCGCTGTTAGGTAAAAAGCCAAGCAGAAAGCGCGGGCCGCGCCGGCCCTCCTCCGCCGCTCCGCGGAGCTCGCGTACACCAACCGCTGGTGGGGGTACCTGAGCGTCGCGGCCCAGGACTCGCTCATGGCCACCCTGACGGGCGACGGCTACCTAGCCTTGGGGGGAGCCGCCGGGGAGGGCGACCCAGACCTGGCAGAAGTGCTGCTCGCAGACTCCGCCGGCCCACCCGCTAACCGCCTGCCAGCACGCCCCTGCTGCTTGGCGCCGCGGCCAGCACGCCCCCCCCGGGGGGCTCCGACGAGCGCCGGGAGCAGCCCCGACACGGCAGCGGGCACCACGAGGAGGTCAGCAGTACCACCACCACCACAACGGCGCAGCGCCACGACTGCGACCAGCAGCGCCACGACTGCGACCAGCAGCAGCACCACCACGACTGCGACCAGCAGCAGCACCACCACGACAGCGACCCGCAGCACCACCACGACCACGACCACGACCAGCAGCACCACGACAGCGACCAGCAACACCATGACTGCAACCGGGAGCAGCAGCACCGAGACAGCGACCAGCGGCACCACCACGACCAGCACCACCAGCACAACCAGCACTACCACGACTGCGACCAGCAGCACCACCACCACTACGACCAGCACCGCCACGACAACGACCAACACCACGACTGCTACCAGCAGCACGACGACTGCGACAAGCAGCAGCACCACCACGACTACGACCAGCAGCAGCACCACCACCACCACGACCAGCAGCACCACCACCACCACCAGCACAAGCAGCACCACCACGACTGCGACCAGCAGCACAACCACGACTACGACCAGCACCGCCACGACTGCAACCAGCAGCAGCACCACAACGACCAGCAGCACCACCACCACGACCAGCAGCACCACCAGCACCACTACGACGGCGACCAGCAGCCCCACGACTGCGACCAGCAGCACCACGACTGCGACCAGCAGCGCCACGACTGCGACAAGAAGCAGCACCACCACGACTGCGACCAGCAGCACCACCACCACGACAGCGACCCGCAGCACCACCACGACCACGACCAGCAGCACCACGACCACCACGACCAGCAGCACCACCAGCACCACTAGCACAAGCAGCACCACCACGACTGCGACCAGCAGCACCACCACGACTACGACCAGCACCGCCACGACTGCAACCAGCAGCAGCACCACCACGACCAGTAGCACCACCAGCACCACCACGACGGCGACCAGCAGCCCCACGACCGCGACCAGCAGCGCCACGACTGCGACCAGCAGCACCACCACCACGACAGCGACCCGCAGCACCACCACGACCACGACCAGGAGCACCACGGCTGCGACCAGCAGCACGACGCCTGCGACCAGCAGCATCACCACGACTACGACCAGCAGCACCACCACCACCACGACCAGCAGCACCACCAGCACCACTAGCACAAGCAGCACCACCACGACTGCGACCAGCAGCACCACCACGACTACGACCAGCACCACTACGACTGCAACCAGCAGCAGCGCCACAACGACCAGCAGCACCACCAGCACCACCACGACGGCGACCAGCAGCCCCACGACCGCGACCAACAGCGCCACGACTGCGACCAGCAGCACCACCACGACTACGACCAGCACCACCACGACTGCAACCAGCAGCAGCGCCACAACGACCAGCAGCACCACCAGCACCACCACGACGGCGACCAGCAGCCCCACGACCACGACCAACAGCGCCACGACTGCGACCAGCAGCACCACGACTGCGACCAGCAGCAGCACCACCACGACTGCGACAAGCAGCACCACCACCACGACTGCGACCCGCAGCACCACCACGACCACGACCACGACCAGCAGCACCACGACAGCGACCAGCAGCACCACGACTGCAAGCGGGAGCAGCAGTACCGAGACTGCGACCAGCAGCACCGCCACGACCAGCATCACCAGCACAACCAGCACTACCACTACCACGACTGCGACCAGCAGCACCACCGCCACTACGACCAGCACCACCACGACTGCGACCAGCAGCAGCACCACAGAGACCAGCAGCACCACCACGACCAGCAGCGCCACCAGCACCAACACGACGGCGACCAGCAGCCCCACGACTGTGACCAACAGCGCCACGACTGCGACCAGCAGCGCCCCGACTGCGACCAGCAGCAGCACCACCACGACAACGACCAGCAGTACCACCACTACGACCGCGACCCGCAGCACCACCACGACCACGACCAGCAGCACCACGACTGCGACCAGCAGCGCCACGACCGCAACCGGGAGCAGCAGCACCGAGACAGCGGCCAGCAGCACCACCACGACGAGCACCACCACCACAACCATTAATACCACGACTGCGACCAGCAGCACCACCACGACTACAACCAGCACCACCACGACCGCGACCAGCAGCAGCACCACCACGACCAGCAGCAGCACCACCTCGACCGCGACCAACAGCACCAACCAGCAGCTCCACCACCACGGCCAACAGCAGCACCAGCACCACCAGCACCACCAGCACCACCACTACTACGACTAGCACCACCACGACAAGCAGCACCACCACAACCGCGACCAGCAGCACCAACACGACTGCGACCAGCAGCCCTGCGACTGCGACCTGCAGCGCCACGACTGCGACCAGCCGCAGAACCACTACCAGCACCACCACCACGACTGCAGCCCGCAGCACCACCACGACTGCGACCAGCAGCACCAAAACTGCGAGCAGCAACGCCACGACTGCGACCAGCAGCAGCACCACCACGACTGCGACCAGCAGCAGCACCACCACCACCAAGACCAGCACCACCAGCACAACCAGCACCACCACGACTGCGACCACCAACACCACCACGACTACGACTCGCAGCACCACGACTGCGACCAGCAGCAGCACTACCACGACCGCAGCCAACAGCAGCACCACCAACACGACCACGACCAGCAGCAGCACCACCACGACTGCGACCAGCACCAATTCCGACCGGCAACACGACCCCCAGCAACGACGGGCACCACCTGCAACGACCAGCAGCAACGACGCGCACCTGCACGACGGCGCGCACCGACGACGCCCACCGCCCCTTCCCCTCGCCTTTCCCTCGGCCTCTGTCCCCTCGTCTCGGTCCCGTCTCGTTCGCCCCCTGCCTCCGCGTCGTTCGCACCTCGCCGTTCGGGCCCGGCTCGTGCCCCTCGCCCCCTCGTCCTCCGTCCCCCGCCCGCCCCACCCCCGCCTGGAGTCCAGACCCAGCCGCGCCTGCGAGACAAGGGAGCAGTGGCAGCAGGCTATGGCGCTGCTGATTCCCAAACTGGGGCCCAACGTCATCAGTTGCATCGCTGGGGCCAGCGCACGTGCGAAAAATGGGCAGCGGCAGTGGCAGCGAGCCAGGGAGGAGAGCGAGGCGGCAGAGGAGGAAATAGAAGAGGAGGAGAAGGCAGCGGACGAGCAGGACCAGGTCGAGGAGGAGGAAGGAGGAGGAGGAGGCGAAGATAATCGCGCTCGACGTCAGGCGGCAGTGGCAGCGAGCCAGGGAGTCAGGACGTGGAGGAGGAGGAGGAAGACGGGAGGTGATGGCGGAGCCAAGCGTCTCCAGCTACAGCTCTGGGATCAGCGCACGCGCGAGAGGCGAGCAGTGGCAGCGGGCTCTCTCAGTGCCCAGCGAGATGTGGGAGGCGAAGGTGGAGCCAAGTGACATCAGCTATAGCTTTGGGATCAGCACCTGCGCGAAAGACGAGCAGTGGCAGCGGGCTCTACCACTGCTCAGCGGGATGTGGGAAGTGAGGTTGGAGCCGAGTGGCATCAGATACAGCCCTGGGATCAGCGCGTATGCGAACGGCGAGCAGTGGCAGCAGGCTCTCCCGCTGCTCAGCGAGATGTGGGACGCGAAGGTGGAGCCAAGCGTCATCAGCTACAGCTCTGGGATCAGCGCGTGCGCGAAAGGCGAGCAGTGGCAGCGGGCTCTATCGCTGCTCTGCGAGATGTGGGAAGTGAGGTTGGAGCCAGATGCCATCAGCTACAACTCTGGGATCAGCCCTGGGATCAGCGCGTGTACGAACGGCGAGCAGTGGCAGCGGGCTCAATCGCTGCTCTGCGAGATTTGGGAGGCGAAAGTGGAGCCAAGCGTCATCAGCTACAGCTCTGGGATCAGCGCGTGCACGAAAGGCGAGCAGTGGCAGCGGGCTCTATCGCTGCTCTGCGAGATTTGGGAAGTGAGGTTGGAGCCAGATGCCATCAGCTACAACTCCGGGATCAGCGCGTGCGCGAACGGCGAGCAGTGGCAGCAGGCTCTCCCACTGCTCAGCGAGATGCGGGAGGCGAAGGTGGAGCCAAGTGTCATCAGCTACAGTTCTGGGATCAGCGCATGCGCGAGAGGCGAGCAGTGGCAGCGGGCTCTCTCACTGCCCAGCGAGATGGGGGAGGCGAAGGTGGAGCCAGATGCCATCAGCTATAGCTCTGGGATCAGCGCGTGCGCGAAAGACGAGCAGCGGCAGCGGGCTCTATCACTGCTCAGCGGGATGCGGGAAGTGAGATCGGAGCCGAATGTCATCAGCTACAGCTCTGGGATCAGCGCGTGCGC